AACAGGTGCCTTACTAGTAGTAACAAGAAGCTTCTAGTAACAGGTGCCACGCTAGTAGTAACAGGTGCCTTACTAGTAGTAACAACGGCTTGACGTTAAAACCGGAACGAGCGGAATCCAGAGCTCGGCCGTTCGAGCGGAATGTTTGGACGTCGGACCAGTGGCAGGTTCTTGGCTGACGTCTCCCTATTTCAAGACAATCCCCAAACAAGGTATGACTCCCCCTATGGCCCTATGAATAGAACAGTCAGGTGAATATGAAGCAATTTGCCACCTTCGCTCATGGGGTTTTCCCGTTATACCAGTTGGGCTACTTTATTTCTCTACTGGTGGTAGAGACCATATAAGAGCTGTTCTCTACGTTTACTTTTATGCAATTGTCTTGCACCATTGAAATTGTGCCCTTGAGTGCAGTCAGCATCAGCCCAGCCTCCTATGGACACTGCTGTATCTGTTGGTATTTTCAAAGCAGTCATGGAGCTTGAGGTTGTCAATTCGAGTGCTTAGAGTGAACTGACACACACACACACATTCATCAGTATTACTTCCATGAGGCTCTCAACGCTCCTTGTGAGCTCCTTGATTGTTTCTTTGGAATTGTGTTTTTGTTTGAGGTGTCCTTTCGCTTTGCTTGCACAAACATTTGCCCAAACATGTCAGGTCGCAGTTTCACACTGCAGACACATACTTCCATGCGCATCCGTGCCCCACAAACCCAGGACACAACCAACCCAAAGGGCCCAAACCATCCCAAACCGCCTCCCACGGTCTCCACCACCCAGACGCCACGGCTTTGAGGCCCAGACGTGGAGCTGCGGCGGAATGCCTCGGAGGAGCTGCTGCAACTCCAGTGGAGCGGCTCGCCGGGTCCGCGCAGCAGCACCATGCAACAGCTCCTGAAGGCGTTCGGTTTGGGACGACCGAAGGCCCCCAAGGCCCTCCAGTTTGGGCTTTGGGAAGCCGGGAAGGAGCGCGGTTTAGACCGGTTCTTTCGGGCAGCAGCGAGAAAAGTCGTTTGGGCGGGTTCAGCCCACACCCAGCTCCATGCCCCCGCCTTCGATACGAGGCAGTGCTGGATAAGGACCACGTCGTCCGCCACAATGTGGGGCCACCGGTCTGCGTTCTCGGTCGGAGTGCCCGAGATTCTCTGTGGAACTCTGCGTCATCACTGACTAGTAGAGGAAACAGCTGAAAACAGTCTTGCAGTTCGAAAAAGCGGTTCTTGGGAGTGGTACACTAAACTTACCAGTGTATGCATAGTTGCTAGAACTCTCTTGGAAGGTTCAGCCCCCCAAAAAGGAATGTGTGCACCCCTCATGTCTGGTGACCCCCTCATGTCACATCTGAATTACTGCGAAAGATTTGGTGGCAACTTCTGGGGTAACAAGCGCCTTACTAGTAGTAAAAAGAAGCTACTACTGTAGTAACAAGTGCCTGTCTGCATGTCTAACATCGACGTTGCAACGCGCCAAAGTTCGAACTGTTGAGCCGGCACTTGATTTGATAAGGTTCCTCTTGCGGAGACTCTGCGGCAAGTATCGGTGGCACATGGATTACTGGGTCAGCCGACTGGCAAGGCGGATCGAGAAAGGCACCAAGGACGCATGTCGCGCATGCGCGCGCGCGCGGAGAAGCCTCTAAGCTTTAGCAGTGTTTCTGTTGCCAGGGGGGCAACAGAATCAGGCTTCCCTTGCTCCTCCTTGCTCCGAATCTCTGGGCCTGATCTCTTATCTAAAGCGCACAGCTAAGTTCTTTCGTTCGACATGTGAGGATCGATTGACGACGCAAATCTATGTGATGAAAGCGCTCGGGCACCTGGGCCCTTATGGGACTCTTGGACCACAGAGCAGGCCCGAAGGGGTCGAAGGGGGGTTGATGGGAGGGAACCAAGTGGGAGTGACACAGGGCAGAGTTTGCTTTGCGCAAGATCTAGACTAGACATGACTGAAGTGGTTAAACTTGCTCAGCCACCAGGGGCTTTTAACTTGAGAAACTATCTAACTGAAAGAGTACACTTTTGCCATACGTTTGCCATCTGCTGCCAACTAATTGCTTTTTGTAACTGTTTGGCCCATGGTATTTAACTCTCTTTTAAGCCTGCAAGAGTGCCCAAAGAACGTGGTCAAAAAACGCATACCCTGACACGAGTGATGTCAAGTCATGTCAATGTTGCTTCAAATGATTCTGCAGTACAACCGGGATTAATCGGTGGACATGGGGCTTGCACATAGGTTGTGATGATGTTGAGAGCAAATGTGTCCGGTTACAATGAACACGTACCCTGGAAGACTTGCCCTTATATACCCCAGCACAAAATGCATAGCCAGTCCAGTTATTTTCCTTTGCGCTTTGACTGAGGGAGGTACCCGCCTGTTGTAAGTTCAGAACAACAGAAGCTCCCTTTTCTTTGGGTGTGGAGGTTCTTGCTTCGAGCCCTCGCCCCACACTATTGATCAACAATCCACGAAGACAGCCCCAAATTCCCTGCTCCTAGATTAATGTATGTGACCTTCACTGCACAACCATTCCCTACCTACTCTCTTTTATTGGAACCCTCTTTGAGTTGCCAGGACGACAGGATTAAGTATGATGAAACGCAGTGTAAGTATGATAAATTTGGTGCGCGCGCGCTCTCTCTCTCTCTCTCTCTCTTTCTTACTCCGTGTTTGTGATAGTGTATGCATGTGCATACAATGTTTTAGCTAGATGATATGGATTGCTCCCATTTGCCAGCTAAACTAAACACAAATTGTGCTGCTGAATCAAGGTTTTCAATGTAGAATATATACTCAAAACTTTGTTTGCTCGGCCTGCTCAACCTCAAAAGTTGTGTTGCTTTGGTACAGGAACAGCGGGCTTGACCATAAGATGGTCCCTACTGCCTGCATGGAGGGGGAACAACGTTTAGTCGGGCTCCTACGGACGGTGCCACAAAGGAGGTGGCCTCATGGAGTTGTATCGGGTAAACCAACACATATGCTACTGTGCGGCGTCATTCCATTTACCAAGGTGAAAAGAAATGGCAGACATGGTTTTCTGAAATCAAGAAATAGGCCTGCGCAGCAAGCCAGCAGAAGTTGGCAGGCTGAAACCATTCAATGATGTCCCAAATTTGCGATGGTCTTCAAGAAAATCTTTTGAACATTGATGCGATGGATGTCAGTGTTTTTCATGTACAACCTTCGCAACCTTCCACAGCAAGAATCACGAGAATCTCTTCCAGCCCATGTGGGGCTTTGTCAGATTTTCTAGATGTTTTGCTCACACCTGCCAAGTCCATAGAAAGTGCCAGAAACCCAAGACATGCAAGACATATTGGACATATCATATGACATACGGCACCATGGAACACTCCAGCAGTGCTGCTGGAGGCAGAAGGAGGTGCCCGCTGGGAATTGAAACCGTGCAGCCGTGAAACTTAATCCAAGATGCCATGGACAATTTCAAGCAACTTTTCGGGTGGAAAGCTTCGAATTGTAAGACCCAGAGATAAGTGAGAACCCTTCGCTAGGCATTTGGGAAAAGTTTGTCACCAATATGGCACCCCATGTAAACTGAAGCGCGTGCAGCCCCAAAATATGGTTTCTTTGTAAGCCAAGGAAAAATACTTATGTTGTCAACACATTTCCACTTGACCGACCTCATCTGCTTTCACCCATCCGAGGAGTCCCTACTCCAAGAACCTCCTCCCTTATTTCGACCATGAGGAGGCGCGGAACGATCAGATGATCGGATTAGATGATCCGATCAGTCTGCAGGGGAACCGGAGTGATCTGGGCCTGGCGGCAAAGCACTGGCTATAGATTGTGTTGTTGATCCTTTCGACATTGGACCGAGCTGGAGTCCAGTTTTCTTCCAAACATGGTGTTCTTTGGGCACCATCCAAGAATTCCGAAACATCAAACCTTCAGATTGAAAAGGCCAGACGCATCGGATTCACTGGGACATTAACCATCAACCAAGCGCCTTGTGGAACTTCTTTCCACATGCACAGTTCCACCACCACCCACCATCGATTCGAGGAGTATGTCCGCCTGGTGGCCGTGGACACAGTGGGGCAGCTGGTGGGGGAAATCCCACGGCACAAGCGCAGCATCGTGCGGCTGCTGCGGGAGGATCCCTCTCAGGAGGTGCGAGCCGGCATCGTGCTGGTGGCGGTTGTTTGGGCCGCCTTCCGCCGGGACGCAATGTGGACAGGACGAATTCGGAGTGTCCCAAATGTCTGGCAAAGGTGAAGTGAAAACACGAACCTAGTAGGGATGGCCTCCAATCCGAAGAGCGAGGGCAAACCCAATGCAAAGAAGACTTGCGATAGATGAGCCACAGGGATGAACCTGCCTCAACTTCCGCACCCCCTGCCAATGACCATGTTACCGTGTTTTGTTGAATTTCCGCGCAGTGCAGGTGCGGAAGTTGTGTGACGCGGTGTTGAAGCAGAGGGGATGGCAAGAACCACACTGGATGAAGATTCAGTCGCCTGGCTGAGTCAGATTTTGGCGGCGGATCGTTGAAGAAAGTCCTGAAGGTTGCAGGCCCCTTCCCACCATTCGTTGGACTTCTGCGTGACATCTCCGAGTTTTGGTGCAGGACTTGTCTTAAAACTTAATGCCTTAAGATGCCTTCGACTAATTTAGTTATAATTTAGTTACATTGGTGTGACACCACCAGCTGCATGTTTCTTCCCAGAATTTGTCGGCAAGCAGGAGTTTTCCCAACAGCGTATACAGACAGTGTCATTTTCCTCCCAAAGTAATTGTAACTCTCTGGAAATATCACCCTGACAGTACCTTGGAAACTTGGAAACACAATCTAGAATAACTGGGTTGGTACAGCTGTCACAGCTGTACTGGGGCAGTGCAGCAGCACCGGTGTTTGGAGGGCTTCACGAACGGCTGTGGCAGGTTAGGAGATGGATCCAAAAACCAGGCGGTTGGAGTGGCTGGTTTCGAGTGCGCCTTCACATTTCAGTGGGATGGAGATAAACATTTCAGAAGGAAAGACTCCATTTTGACCAAGGGGATGGTGGCAACAGCATGTGACCAGAGTAGTCACACCCTGAAGTGGGTTGAAGGGAATGGACCAATTTCCTGGCAGTTCTCGACTAATCTCGGATCTGACCATAGATGACTCGTCGTGTTTGAAGACGAAGGGGAGCCAGTTCTCGGGTGGAAAAACGTAGCGACGTTCATCCATTTTTGAAGCCGTATTAAAAACAAAACAGTGGTCTAAGTCCTTTTTATCCACGGTTTGTGGGGCAAACTAAACCATTAATTATCGTTTCCTGTTTAATTGGGGGGTGTAGACGACTCAAGCAAGGCATCCGCATTGCATCCTAGATTCCTGGATGGGATCTGGCTCAAACTAGGGAATGCTTCCTAGGAGCCACCAGATCCTAAAACTGGTAAAAAGACAAATCGAAGGACCTGTGGTCATTCTGGATTCTGGATGCGATACCCAGAAAAACACCCCGCTCGTTCGAAAAACGCTTTTGAACATGGTTTTGAGATTTCGTTTTGAGTGTTCTTCACCTCAACGACTCCGATGAGGCAACGACTTCCGACGAAAGGCCCTGATTTCGAAGCCCTGGGTGTCCAAGACCATTGCTTTAAAGGGGAAACATCTGGTTTGTCGTGTAAAACCTTTAGTAAAACAAGTTACACCACAACCACCAAAATCAGCCAAAATCAATATCAATAAATGCTCATTTGATAGTACAACTTACATTTATTTGGTTTATCACATTTTGTTGATACAGCAACAGATATTGCACTGTGTGTTGATGTTTTATAATCGTTGTTTGGTAAAGGCTATTAAAAAAATGGTGGTTCGACTTCCAGGGAAGTGCTTTTGGAGGATTTGACGTTGTTAGGTATGAAGGGTATCATTGTTCTCCCTTCTTTCCGGTTCTAAGTGAATGTCCTACTGCGTTTGTGGAATTTGAAAACTCAGGATTTCAACCCCAAAAGTTAACATCCTTTTAAACGTCTTTTCTGAAGCTTCGGCGCTCATTTTTTTCCATAGCTAAAGTGAAAGCATACCTCGCACTGATTTGATTAGGCAAAACATATAATATAAACCACAAACATATATAAATGGCAAACCAACTTGCAAGACTAATATAATAATATAAACACTTGTCTACGCCTTTGGTCTCACGTTTGCAGTCTGATCTGACCGGCCTCGCCGGGCTCGAGCAGCGGCCTCCGGCCTCAGGAAGCCCGCCTGGCGCGAGAGGGTGATTCGGTCCAAGGCCAACAACAACAAGGGCACGAGCCTTCGACGGGGGGAGCGGTTGGGCGTGGTGACCGGCGTGGTTGGGCACGGTGAGTCCCAAAAGGGATGATGCATGATGGTTTGAATCAAGTTGGTGAAGACACTCTCTAGTTGGATCCATTTCTCAAATCTTCTACATGAAACACAGGGTTTTGGGGGAGTTTGGGTGAGTTTTCAAACGACTTCAGCTGCAGTGAGTCAGCTGCGGATTGAGCTGGGCCATTTTTGGTGGGTCCGGAAGTGGCCATTTTTCCCTGTAGAGCCCGCATGCACCACCTGTGCGGCATTCTAGAATGGCGGGCACCTTCCAAATATGCACTGTTTCGTAGGCAGATAGGATCGAGACCCACTTCAGGTTCCTCTGTCCCAAGACACACCCCATATTTTTCTTTTTCGTGGCACGTTGTGGACAGCTGGGCTATCTCCCAATCTATTTTCTAGGTCCGGCATCTTCTGTATGGGCCCTGGGTAGAGCCAGTGGTTAAGAACCTACATCAAAAGCTCACCGTCAGCTAAGTTTTTCAGGGCTACTGGAAACCCTCCCCGGACAGGACTTGCAAGAGTCATTTGATGGTCCAGGGCTCAGTCACGAGAAGGCACTCAGCCACCATAGACCAGCGCATATAGACTTTTCTTTTCCCTGCAACAAGGGGAGACAAGCCACACCTTTTTGGCACAAGGGACAGTTAACGAGTATCTGGTGCAGTTCAGGGCCCCATCATTGCATTCAACGAACCTAACATGGACCCCCCATCTTTTTGCTCAATCTGTGTGGGTCCTAGTGGTGAGCTCGATCAAAGGACCAAGGGCAAGAAGAGTGTCGGCAAATTTGGCAAGGCGCGTTGTCATGCTCCTGTTTGGGACAAAATAGTTTTATCTAAATTTGTTGAAGTGGCCTATGACAGGAAAATCCAAGCGGAGGTCTGGACAGAGAAAGCTTGAAGAGGGTTATGTCACGAAATGTCAAAGGTCTCCATGTATTAATCTATATATGTATTGCATGAAAACGCAGTCCAATGAACAGAATGAACATGACGATCTGAAGTCTTTTTTGTGAGTCACCAAAGCGAGACTGCAGCCCAGTCTTTTGGTAGGGGTGCCGCGGTGGAGCAGGATTCAAGTGGCATGACAAATCAATCCGTCCCACGAAAATCTCTCCTGCCAAACACGGCCACAGATCTACTGGGAGAAGGTCGGACATAAGTCGCGCATGAAGTGAGAGTGGCCGGGATTTCTTCTCTGCGATGCTGATCCTGAGCAGCCAAACAAGAAGCGAACTAAGAGTCAAGATCTACGACCAAATGCACCTGCCTGCCGAAAAGTGTGGGTTGATGTTGGAAGTGACGAATTGCCTAAATTAATATAACATGTCGGGTGTCTTGAAGTTATGGAGGATCTGGGGTTTGACCTTGGCACAGGGCAGGGAGGCTGAAATCACCGACTCAGACAGAATTACTATTGCCCCACCTGAGCCCCACCTGTGATCAGTGATGCAGGCAGCACCAATAACCTGATGTTGTTGCTCCACAGCTACGCCGCCAAAGCACCCGCTAGCGCAGAAAAGCCGTGGAAGTGAGGATGGTTCCCAGAACAGTGCAGCCCCTCCCATTCGCTCACTCAACGGTATCGCTGTGGTCCATTCGCTCGTGTCACCAACTCACCGCGCAAGATGCGATGTCCCAAAAAGACGAGCGCCAAGCAGCGACGGGAGAGGAAGTCAACCCGGAATTGATGCCATTCCGAAGAAGCTTCAAAAGGAGACCCGGTGTTTTCTTGATTTTACTATCTGTTTTCGGTGTCTATGAGCCTCTCCCCGCCTCACCTACGAGCTGTGAATTTGGTTGGCCTATGCAGACAGGCGGAGTGGCTTCACCACCGAAGAGGGTTGCCAGGACCTTGCAGGTTTCGTGGATCTCCCATTTGATTTCCCCAGATCGCTTCAGCTCCAAATGAGATGTGCAGGACCTGCGTGGGATCCTCCTTTGGCCGCTGAAGAGATGTTTTTGAGACAAACTGACCAAGCATTTTAACCATATCCATAATCATCATAATCCCGTCTTTCAGCGGTTGAAGAGTGAATCCGTTCATTGTGGGGACTCCCGGCCACTCCGGAAATGTCACTGTTGGATGCACCACCTGGACTCCCAGCACCCGATTTCTGCCAGGCACAGGCGTTCACCATTGAGACACCCTTGGTGACTGGGGCCAGGGCGGCTCAGCAACTCCATCGACCGGACAGACCGTGAATTAGTCCACCAAGGCCACAGAGCTCGACAAACAGATCCACTTTGAGATCCTCTAAGGTCCTTTCAGAATCACTCATAATCACTCTACTAGTAACAAGGGCATCGCTGCTAGGAGCGATCGGACGCTACGAACGTAGCTCCTGGCCTTACTACTCGTAACAAGAAGCTACTAGTAGCTAGAAGCTACTAGGGGCTCCTGGCATCGCTACTAGGAGCAAGGACGCTACTAGGGGCTCCTAGCCGTACTACTAGGAGCATCCTTACTACTAGTAACAAGAAGCTACGGACGTAACGAGGGCACACAAATTCCAAGACAAAAAAAAGGCCGAGAAAGCCGACCTCCGCGCCGTCCGCGACGTCGGCGACCGTTGACAGAGGTTGGACTTCATCCGTTCTGCTTGCTTAATACACCCCGAATGACATGGAGATGTAGAAGCCTTACAGAATAGAATAGCCAATGGAAGGCAACGAAACGCAACAGAAGATAGTGGGGTTTTGATCAACATGGATCCACTGGGCTGTGCGACTCGCTCCTCCAATCAAATCGAACCCATGGAGTGGGGGGTCTCACTCTGAGTTGCGACCACGGACTCACCCTGAAGGACCAGAAAGATGCATCCAGTGAACATGGTGATTGGCAATGGATTGGAGTTCTTAGATCATCCCCTTCTCAAGCTCACCGGAGCTCTCTGACCAAGCAAGTCTGAGCTCATGTTCCAGTCTGGCAAGTCTGGCCCCACCCGTTGGCTGAAACAGCAACCCAGCATCGGTTCGAAGAACGAATCCGAAAAAGATCTGAATGCTTTGATGGACCAGGTGGCCTGAACCATTTGGGATCAGCAATGGTCCACACAGTATTTGATACTGTTGATAGGCCACTATCTACCCCGCAGAGCAGGAGCGAATGCAGGATTCTCGGAATAACATCTGGAAGGGCACACTCATTTCGAGCCTATACAAACCCACGAGCGAGCTGCGAGCTTGGCTCGTCCTGCACATCCAAAGGACAGACGAAGTGGCCGGACATTTTTTTTCAGATGTGAACGAGCTGGGGGTGAGTGAAGAGGGTTAACTAACCCAAAGTTGTAGGAACCCCCAGCCTACTTACTGGCTTTTGGTCCTATTTTTCTTTCTTCTTAGTGGGTCCAAGTATTTCAATTCACTCCCAACTATTGCAATTCATAATAATCCACCAGTAAAAGAACAACAGGTTTTGACACTGTTTTGGATGATGGACATCCGGAATTCTGCGGAGATTTTTGCTTCTGGTCAGTCCACAGTACAACGCTTTGCTCAGGCAGCTACCCCTCGAGGTGGGTGGTTGGGGTGCGGCAAAGGTTGGAAATTGATCTTCTCAGTTAGCAGATGTTTGGTTTAGGTATTGGGAACCGATTGAGGTGTGGCTACTGCAATCTCTTCTGTGCCAATGCCAACAGGGTGTGATGGCACTGCTGGATCCAGATGATCTAGTTATATCCCAAAACCTCTGGGCTGAGCTTGCTGAGCCTCTGAAAAAAACACCCCCCCCAGGCGGTGTTGGAGACCTCCATTTCGCTGGTGGGTTTTGTTTTGTTTTGTGTTTTTTGTCGAATAACACCGAAACATGTAAAACTAGTATCATAAAACATAAATAAACATCATCTTAGATCTTGGTATCTTCTTCTTGGTCGTCGTCGTTCCATTTCAAGTTTTTGGAGGCCAACAACACTGGGTCCCTGGAGACGGAGACGGAGGAAAAACTAGGAGGATTTGGATCCAGACTTTGTTTGGCTTCTTGTGGATGGCCCCCTCCCCAACCAGAAGCAGAATGCCATTCCGTGTCGCCAATTCCGGTGAACTATGTGATTCTGTGGACATTGAGGTGTTTAGATGTGTTTAGTATGTTTTAGTATAGCTGCATCGACATGTCAAGTGCTCGTATCCACACCACACGCTTCGCGCGCAATTTTCCTAGACCAACTGAGAACACTAGGAACCTCCTCTATGTCGAATCTACAGTTGATGGCAATTCCGGCAGGAGTATGAACCAAATGGGATGGTGGTTGTCATGCAAGTCAATCCTAGGGTGTGAGTGATTGTTAGCATTTCACAGTGGCCTGCTGCCGAAACCCTCACAGTTTTTTTGGGGTGTTATGTTGGATATTGACCTCAACTGGTAGATCATCACATCGCTTGAACCCCTCAAGGCTGTTTCTTGTTGGAGAGGTCAGGACGTAGGAAGACTGAACGCCTTACGTCTTAGCCGCCAAAACCAGTCGTTTCACCCCCCCCCGTTGAGTCGAAACCGACTCCGCGGCTCGCCGCGGCGCGCCTGCGCGCGCCGAACGCAGCGCAGGTGTCCTGCCACCCACCGAGGAGGCGCGACCGGTGGAGGTGGTTTGCGGGGTCGACGCTTCGGGACCCAAAACGGCCAACAGTCTCACCACAAGTCCGGGAATTCCGCACCAAGTCGGACCGTGATGTGTCATGGCGCGCATCGTTTGTGCGGCAACATAAGGCCATGTGAACAGATGCAGCTCGCCTACGTCACCAACCCAATCAGCTTGATTTCTTCCGTATATGCCTCTTCAGTTGCGTTTCTGGGCGCTGTGAAGAAGGCATTTAGAAGTACCTTTTCCCCTGTTTCATCCTGCAGTGCTTCATGTACGCCACATCTTGCGGTTGGATGTTGGAACCTAAAAGACTTAGAGAAGTGTGAAGCAATACAGCCCAAACGCTCATGGACCCTCCTAAGTAGGGGTAGGGGTTGGACCCTCATATAGAATCATATAGAGGGGTATGGGGTCTCAAATCCCCAAGTTCTGAGGGACCAAGGGCTGTTTGGAGCGTGTGGGAGTATCAAGTTACACACAACTTGTTACTAGAAGCGATGCACTTGTTCCTAGTAGCTTCTTGTTACTACTAGTAAGGCACCTGTTACTACTAGCGTGGCACTTGTTTCTAATAGCTTTTTGTTACTACTAGTAACAGGAGTGTGGACATCTCACTGCGTTGTGCCTGCCAAGCCACTCTTGCACGTCCGATCCGCGATGAACCACAGGTATGGTGTAATCATATGTCTTGTGCCCTTGAAGTAGCGAGTTGTGTTCGAAAGTATTTGACGTATTTGGAGATTATTTGAAGTATTTGCATATATTTGCAGCTCCTTGCATTCTAAATGTTGATTTCCTTTTTCGAGTTTAGTAGTTCTCACGGTTTATTTAGTCCAATGATCGGCATCCTGTGGGTGACACAGCCAATCCGCGCCTTTTTTGTTGCAGAATAGTAGATTCAATTGGTGACCAATCAGGAAAACTAATTATATTTATAAACATTATAAACCATTCTAGTAAATCATTCAAGAATAAGTAAGGTGATGTGAACAGGGACTTTGCCCTGCTCCCAGTTTGCACATCCAAGATGAACTGTGCATCCTAGCTAAAGTCGGGTTTCTCCATTGACCGAAGTAAACATCAATTGACGTCAGATGCTGCAACATACCCCAAATGAAGAATTGAGTTGTTGGCCGTAGGGCTTCAATTAGCAGTGAATGAGGTCTCACAGTTTCAGCAAACTGTGCCAGCATACACTTCAACAGTTTTGAGTGGGAAGTGAAGGGTATGTTGATGTCTCACATAGCTGCGGACCTCTACCAAACTTCAATCACTCACGACGAGTCTTGTTTCAGTACCCCCTTCATCTCCTTCTCCAGATGTGCAAAGGGTAGGTCTACTTCTTGATGGGACCCTTTTGGCCTCATGGATTGCTAAGCGAACGTCCCACATTCAACGAACGTCCACCACGAACCGCTGTTCTTCCATTGGTCATCTCATAATGCTCGCATGGTCCATTTTACTGGTCATGCTGCTTTTCTAGGGAAGATTTGCATGGAACCTCTATTTTCCTTTACAACCCAGTGGTTTTCAGGTTCCATGTTAATCTTGCAGAATGTAGCGGTCTTTCCCTCGATAAAAAGAGGTGGCCAAAGCTGCCAAGGCCAAGGGACTCAACTGGTTGGATGGGGAAGGAGCCCGGACTGCGAGGACAACCCTT